GCGATATTATTGATTTTTGTTCTTTTAAAATTTATCATAACTCGTATTTTCAAATTGCTATTTGAAAATAATCCAGAAATTGTTATGCATCTTCTCCTCGTTCTTCCCCTTTGAAAGGAGACACAGATGTAGACGGATAATCGTTGTTTCGATAAAATGTTCTTTTAAAATTTATCATAACTCGTATTTTCAAGTTGCTATTTGAAAATAATCTAGAATTGAAATGCACGATCTTCCTCTCGTTCTTTCCTTTGAGAAATTGGAAACACATAGATGTAGACGGACAATCGTCGCTTCGATAAGATGTTCTTTTAAAATTTATCATAACTCGTATTTTCAAGTTGCTATTTGAAAATAATCTAGAAATTATTATGCACGATCTTCCCCTCCTTCTTGCCTTTGAGAGAGGAAATTGAAGACAGAAAATCGTCATTTCGATGAGATAATTCGATAGCTATCAGATATTATTGATTTTTGTTCTTTTAAAATTTATCATAACTCGTGTTTATACGTACGAGATCAACGGGAGTTGGAATGGAATGGAGCGAATCTCCATTGCGTTCTCTCCTTCGAGCTTAAATTTCCAAATCCAATCGCAGGGGAGGGAGAGAGACTGTATCTCGAATATCACGAGAATTTCCTTCCCTTACCTTCCCCTCGATACTCCGATAGAATATCCGAACAAATATGTATCGAGCGAGGCATAAAATAAATCTTTCGCCAATAATACCGTTCTTCTCCCTCGTTAAATCCCTACGAGTCGCAAGCTTGAAAAGAAATTGCGATCCATCGCGTGGAGAATATCGTTCGAATTACGATCGTGATTTCGATCGAGACCGAGTCCCTTGCTTGGAAGGAAAATCACGAAAGAGCACGAAGGGGAGGTGGAGGGATCGTAAACGGGATTTCAACGAGTTGCGGAGATGCGCGGTCGTTTAATTTTGATCGCGTGCGAAGCTCAAGACTCGAGAGAAAGAGAGAGGGAGAGAGAGAAGCCGCGCGAATGTGACGCATCGTGTGCGGAAACGGCGTCGTTGGCGTGCGCCGACGTCCCGCCGTTATTTCCGGCAACGACACCGCATTTGTCCGTCACGATACCGCTGCATCCGTTCAGCGCGAAACGGTGGATCGAGTTTAAATGTCGGACTTACCGGGTGTAAAATTCACCGGTTTCTCCCTGAATTTCAAGCATCCGTTGTAAAACTGGCCCAACTTCTCGAACTCGCCCACCATGTGACCGCTCTTGTTCGCCATTAACTCTGAACAGAAATTAATTTAAACGTGTTATTAATTCTTACATACACACTTTATACGTGAACATATTGTAAGAAAATGTTCAAGTAGTAAGATTCGATGGATCATCGTGATTGAAAGAGCGGAGAAATATACGCTTATTTTTTTTTCTTGCTCTTTTTAAAAGTTGAAGAGGGAAAAATTTATACTATTTAATAAAATATTCTTCAAAGGAGACATTTACATTGGAACAACGGAAAAATGAAAGAAACGGTAAATAATTTATAGATGACAATGATACGAGCGATATGGTTTGTCGAGTCATAAAAATGATCAACGATTATTCGGGAACAAAACGGGGCATGGACGAAATAAGTTCCGTAAGTGCATGCGAACTCTTCTCCCCCGGTGAAATATTTTTCGTCCCTTTTTAAATATACCTCGATGACACGAGGGAGCATAAATCACGGATTCGTCGCTCTATAAAAAGATCAGCCAGGAATCTCGGGCTGAAACTTGGGGCCGAATATAGCATCGCCGTTCTGCGCCATTCAACGATCGAAAATGGCAAAGGTTCGTTTGGTTGCCGAACGTTCGAAAAGCGATCGAAGGGGCGACTTCACCGAAATAGATCCGGAAACCGGATTCCTCCTCCGCGTTTTCGAGACACGGACGAGCCGTGTATTAAAGTGTTTGTGTGTTTGTATCGAGAAAATTCACGAGAGAAGAGAAGGAACGCGATGAAAGGATCGGCCAGCTTTGGATAATCGAACTTGATATCCGAGAAAGCGATGTAATTCGAAGTTTTTTAATTAGAAGATTGAAATTTTAATTCGAAAATTTCGTTAGCTCGACGCGAATAATTGGACGCGAGAAGAGCGTCAGCCATTTTTTAATATATAATAATTAAATTAAATTCTTCTCTTTTATACTCTCTTCTCTTGTAAATTTTATCGTTGTATCTTAAACTGGCCAAGTTTTACAACATATTTTTGCAAATCGATTCTCACAATATTTCCAATTCAAGTATAAAAGCAATCCAATTTATTGATCAAGATTCGAAATTTCTTCTCCTCTTTATCCGACCATCAAATATTATTTATTTTAATTAAAACAAGCGAGTAACTTCCATTTTATTTAAATCGAGAAAATTTACACTGCAAAAAAAGCAAACGCAAGAAATTTTCGATTTACAGATCGATTTTAATTCGAAAAACGAATATTTCAGGATCGAGCAACAGAATGAAGGGGAAGGAAGGAAGGAAGAAGAAAGTGGCATGCGAACGTTGTTCGACTTCCTCCGTTTCCCACTCGTCGAGGTCGTTCGTCGAACGATCGTAGCCCGTATGTGGAGCATTGTGTCGAGTCACAGGACAACGTGCATGACACACTTCCGTGTGCACGTATATCGATTAACATGAAATATTTATAGTACGGCCAACCGGGTACAACCCAATCCGCCCTTCCGTCAGCCTTTCGCTGACCTCCCGCCGGATCGTCCTCGACATCCACCCGTTCCTTCTTCTCCTCCCTTCCCATCCACCACGTTTATCCCTCATTATTTTCAATCCCTTTCGCGATATTCAATCGTTGTACAATCGTTACCGACCGCGTCCTCGACCGCCTCTTCAAAAATTTTCTCGCCCTCGATCTTCCATTCGATTTCTCGTTATCTTTCCCCTCCTCCCCCGAGTTCGAGTTCCTCCATCGAGTTCGTCGCTGGCTAGGATGAATTTTCGTGGTGGATAATGGATTCTTGCTTCGAGAAGTTGTTGCCCCTTCGCGACGAGCTAACAATAACGGTAGATAATAAACTTTTCTCGTCTTTTAGATAACTGTACTGATACTTTCGATATTTAAATTCTCACAGGGGATAAAAATATCATTTTTTTCATTAACGGTATATTATCCGAATATTCGAGAAATAAAACTACTAATTCGAGTTTTCGATCAATAAAAAACTCGTGGCTAGATACATTGAAAATCGATATTATGGTCTCCACTGTACACATTCTTGCGCTATACTCTTCCTCTCTCTCTTTCTCCTCTTTTTCTCATTCTCTCTGCTACGCGACCGTAAAAGGAATTAGAATTTAATGCAATCAAGGGTGATGCGGCCACCCTGACCAATTTACAGAGAAAGAAACACCTCGAGCCTCGCTTTACTGCGGAGATCGATAATAAAAACTCGGTTTTTATCGCTCGATTCTGTTCCAAATTATTCATACCGTTTCCCAAAGTAAACTCGCGAACCGTGGAAGGTAGGCCTGTCGATGATTTATAGAACGGTGCTTCTCTCATCGATCGTTGCCGTACGTGCTTCCATTGTTTAACGTCACAATTCCCCCTTTCCACTTTGCCTTTTTGCGCCGGAATGGTGGCGTTCTTGTGGCTCGAAAGGAGAACACTTTCGAACGAATTTCACATCGCGAAAGAATGAACAGCGAAAGGATCCTGTTTGTACGTGTCAAAAGTTCGATCGATCCGCTTCGACAACTCGAATCCCGACATTCCTCGGCAATCGTGTCATCTCTCTTCATCTAACGAGTCGCGACAGTTTACGATCGAACAAGAGCGTTCGATGTATCACTTCAAACTAATTCAAAATTATATAGGATTATACGGTGTATATAAAGAAGGTTATAGAAAGAAGTGAAAAGGAGGGTAGTTCGAAATCGTTATACACGGAAACTCGTTACACTTGTTTCGAAACTCGAAAGTAGCAGCGGAAGTCCGCACTCCCTTCTTTCGTTTCCACTTTTCGCTCGCCTACCGCCCCTTTCCTGCCTTTGTGTCCTCGCATGCTTTCCCGCGGTTAAATGGAAACTCGAAATTTCGGCCTAGTGCAGCCTCTCTTCGCAGCCGGTAGTGGGAGGAGGCCAGCTTTTGTCGACACTGTGCGTTTTCACTTTCTCCTCGTACTCCCTTCAATTCATCCTTCCCTTCTAGCCTCCTATAGATACGGTTCTGCTCGCTGAGTTTTTCCTTTCTTTCTCTCCTCTGCGAATATTTTTAACAACGCGAATCGAAGCTCGCGAAAAGATATGGCTCGAGAAAAGGACTGGGTTTCTCTCTTTTTTCGAGGAGGGAAGGGGGAAGGGAAAAATGTTTCCACGGGATCGAATTGTCGTTAAGACGTTTGCTCGAAAAACTGTTAAACGCGGGAGTGAATATTCAATGTCGAAGAGAGAGGCGAGGAGATTTCGAGGAGTTTCTTTTCGTAACTTTTTCTCCCTCCCCCGAATGAAAATTTCGCGGGAGAAGAAGTTTTCGAAACGAAGACGGCAGTTTCCAGACCATAGCGACTTTTTCTTTCTCCTTTTTTTTCTTGTAAGAAAGATTTTAGAACCGAATTAAAAGAAAACGTTTAAACGATTTGAAATCTCTTCTTGGATTTCTCGCCGGTTTTGAATTCAGGTTTAATATCTCTTCTCTCGATGTGCACGCATCGCGCGTAATACGGAATTTTCTTTTATGGGCAATACGGTGTTACAACGTTGGGAAAAGTCGATGCGTATTTCAGGTTAAATGCGAGCGGACATAATGGCGAGGTAATGTATTTCCATGAAAAAAAGTAGATATTAAACGCTGGTTGAATGCAAACTTGCCGAGATCGACCCGATAATCTTGCGTCTCTCTCTCATCTTTATTACGAATTTCTTTGATAGTTTATAACGATTAAAGATTATCACGTTCTTATCACGTTCGAGGCAAAATTGATGGAAATTTCCATCACACGTTTAGAAAGATAGTAATTGGGACGATTGTACGTACATTTGTAGTACCTTCCTCTAGTCGATCGAACCTTCTCTGTCCGACGTGGCGGCCATCTTGATACGAAGATTAATTCGAAAAAGATTACGTCGATCTCGAAAATTCTTCGCTTCGCATTATACGTAATTTCAAACGGTGATGAAATAACGACACGATGCAATAGTTTTGCAATAATGTTTCGCCATCGATTCGAAACTTCGACCGTGGAGAAAGAAAAAGTAAAAAACGCAGAATCTTCCGTTTTATTGTCTCGAAATAACCAAGGCAAAAATTCCGTTATGGATCATTTCCTGTATCCATCCATTTCTTTTCGATCTATCTTTTCGTTAACAAAAGCGAAACTTTCATCCCTTGGTGTATCATCATTGACAATTCCTGCGATGTATCGATCAATGTTTTCTCATCAACAAAGCAAAAATGTATCCATCATCGACTATCCTCCGTATCCTCCATCCTCCTTTCATCGATCCCCGCATCAATCGTATATCTTCTCATCGATCAAAAAAACAAAAATTCCATACCGCCAGAAAAACGCAATCCTCGACGATTCCCTTGATGTATCCCCCATAAAATATCGATCTATCTTTTTTTTTATTATTATTATTATTAACGAATCGATAGACGATACATAACAATTCCCAAATGGTGAACACTGCACGCGGCCAATCGAGGGTGAATTACTCTTGCTTGCGATCGAAACCGATTTCAAGGGAATTGATATCGGTTACGTGCCATTAATAACGTCCACGCGTCGACAAACAGGCGGAATTGGGGATATCCGGTCCTGGCCAATTCCTTGACTACACGCATGTCGGCACAATTTGAGAACAACATCGGGCAAGGATTCCCCGTGACGCATGAGTTTGGACGATCCTCGTCTTTGGACTGGTTTCGAGGTCGTGTTCGACATCGTCAATTTCCTCCACGAGGAATTAATGTTTCTATTTATTGGCAACCCTCAACTCTCCGAAGGTTGTTAAGTGCTTGATACGGTAAAAAGTGGAATTCAAAGTTTGCCAGGCTTTTATTATTATTGTTATTATTATTGCAGATCGAAAGAGTTTCTTATTTGCTTCTTATATATTTATAAGAACGGGGGAATATTTACGTAAATCTTGGAGAATCGTATTATTCGATTATTTTTACAAATCAATACGTACGACATCTAATTGTTAAAGATTTGGAAAAGAAAGAAGCGATATTTATCGCAAATTTCATTGATACACTTTGATCGTTTCTCCAAATATTTCCT